TTAGGTAATTGCGTTAAAGAACATCATCAGCAGAGATGAGAATTTAGCATCGTTTTTCTCTTTTGACAAAGTAAACATTTATCCACGGGGTTTTTTCAACTGCTCAATTTCTTTTTTTAAGTCATCGAGTTGTTTTTGCTCCTTGCCATTCTTTTTTTCTAAGATAATCTGGCGGTCTTTTAATTTCAGGGTATAGTTAAAAAACATGGCCAATAAAGCCAAAATCACCACAAAAGCTCCAATCACCGTGTAAAGGGCTAGTTCACAGCAGGTAATCATAATCTTTATTCTTCCTTAATGGGTTGTAATAAATTAGTCAAACAAACCCCGATTTGTCGATAAGCCTCATTAAGTTTTTGAATTTCACTAGTTCGTTGGGCTAAGATACCAAAACTATTCTGTTTACATTCATGGGCGATTTGAGTAATCTTTTTGGGACTAATGCCTTGCTGACAACAAGCCGACATACATTGGTAATAAGCGACAGTATTTTTTTTTGGTTTAATTGGTTTAACTCTGACTTTTTTCTTAGTAATTGGCATTAGTAAACTAGGTTCGATACAGTTAGGACAGTAAGTGGGAGAATTATTTAATTCTTGTTTGTCTGAGGCAGGAGAATAAGTAATGGTTTTCTGGAATTCTTGACCACATTTATCACAAGTGTAATTTTGTTGCCGATATTGGAATAATTGAGGGTTATTTAAGTTAGTGTTGAGCATAATTTTTTAAATTAGTCTCCTACGAGGTAAAAACTAGGATACAGTGCGGATATTAAAGGGCAATAAAGTCAAGGAGGTATTAATTAGCGTTTCAATGGCTTGCTGCACTAAGACACCGCAGAACACGGCCAAAGCCGAACATATTAAAAAGGGAACAGTTGACATAGTGTTTTAAAAATATTCTTGGAATCTCCGAAATTGTCCCGAGCCAGTATTTATCCAGTGACGGATATAGAAACCAAACACGGCACAGATGGAGAACCAGATTAATCATTTAGTTTTGGACATAGTTTTGTTTAGTATTCAGTAGCACTATTATCAGATAGTTTACTTTTACCTTTATCAGTTTTTTGGGTTAATTGAATTATGTAAGGCAGTAAATATCCTACTAAGATGCCGAGGGCGATATATTTATATTTGATTGACATAAGTTTTTAAATGAGTGTTTTTATTCTTCTTTTTGTCTACGACAATAGTATAATCACAGATTATTCATTTAATCTCCGATAATAGAACAATTACGAGTAATTATTCATTTCAAAAATAAGCAATGGCTAACAGTAAAAATATTCCTACTCCAATCGCTAACATGGCTTTTTGGTAATTTAAACTCCGTTGGATGAATTCTCCCGCGAGAGCCTTGTATTCCGTGCTTTTGTTTTCGACCAGGTCTTTTAAGCGTTCGTCATAGAAATTGTTCAAGGCTCCTTTGAAATCGGGTAAATAGTCTTTGATTCCCATAATCTATAAATTTTCTTGATTTTTAATGTAATGATAGATAAATATTCCTACGATTGCGGTGGCAATTAGGGTATAAGTGATAATCTGAGTGGTTTCGGAATTATTAGGCTTAATAGCCGTTAAACTAGTGCTTAAATCTTGGACAGTGCTGGTAAGATTACTGGGAACGGTTATTTTGGACTGAGTTATCGGATTGGTTGTCATAATTGTTTGCTTGGTTTTGCCGTTGCTGAAATTTCTGAATATTATCCACTACGGGGCTAGTTTCAAGGTTATTTTCTTTAATGACTTTCTTCTTGGTTCTTTCTTTAAACTTTCAGTAAGTGGTGCCGTTTTTATCGGTTCTAACTAATCCTAATAATTTCTGGTTATCAGTTTTGATAATAAAACTGTTCGGATATTTCGGGTCTTTATTAGTCCACATAAGAAAAGAGGTTGGGAAGTCAGTCATAATTCTATACTAGGTAAAAGGAAGTTTATTCGTCTTTTTTCTTAAATAATTTCCCGGTTACTTTTTGCACTAAGCCGGACTGATAAATAAAAAAGCCGACCGTTAAGCCAATCGCAAACATGGCTAGTTTACCAGTGGCTCAGGACATTAAGGTGTTTTGATTTTCTAAATTTTCATTGGGTCTTGTCATATTTTTTTTAATTCTATAATGTTTAGTCTTTTTTTAATTGTTTAACTATGAGATAAGTGACGGAGGCAAAGCCGACAATGGCAGCTAAGCCAATGGTCGAATAAGTAAATAGTTTTTGGGCGGAATACTCTAAATCTTCACGAATTAGGATGCCTCTTTTATTGCTAAATCTTTCTTGGGTTTCATTTAATTTTTCTGTCATATTATTTTTTGGTTAATAATTTTAATAATTGGTTTTGTTCTTTTAACAAGGAGATGATTTCCTGCTGATTAGTGTTGAATTTTTTAACTTCCTCCTTTAAAGGAGTGATATCAGGGAACAAGGACATGATTAATTAATTTTGATTTTCTTGGTTTAAATGGTAATCAATCGCTTTGGTTTCTTTTTGGTGCGTTAAACGGACGGACTTAATGCTTTGGACTTGCTGGACTAAATTAGTAAACTGGTTAGTAGCACTATTCTCTAAGGCCGTTAATCTTTGCATAATGGCTTGTTGACTAACAATTACTTGCTGTAAAGCCATTTGGATCTCGGCCATAGTTCCTGTAATTTGAGGGACTTTTTGACCCGTAAATTGTTCAAAGAGCAAAGGTAAAAAGGGTAAGGATTGACCCACCATCTTCATTAGTCCCGAAGACTCTTGGCTTTGGGCTTTTTGAGTTTCTTTAAATTCTTGATTGTCAAAGTTCATAATTATTGGGCTAAATTGATTAAGGTATTCGAAGCAAAAATTATCCCACCTACGGCGGGTAATCATTTCATGAATTCACTATCTTTATTAATTTTGGCACCATAGAAATAAAGACCGACAAAAATGGCCGCACCAACTAGTAATAATACTTTTTTATCCATTAGTCTAATTCTTTCTTTAACTGGTTAGAGACTTTAAAACTAATCCGATAATAGCGATAAGTGTCTCCATAAGGATTAGTAACTCGGGCTATCTTTTTTTCAAAAGTTCCACAATCACCTAATTTTATCTTAGTTCCATCTTTGGCTTTTTTGAGAGTAGAGAATAAGTCTTTGCTTACTAATTCGTAAGCCTGTTTAAGTCCTGATTGATTAACGGGGGTTTTCTTAACTACTTTTTTAATCTTAGCAGATAAAATATTAGTTCTATTTTTCAACATAATCTATTCTTTTTTGATTCAGTTTTGATAACCATAAGCGACAATTAAGCCCGCAATGATACCAAAAGCCAAGTAAGTCATTTTATTTTCTTTGAGATTCATAATTTTTTATACTTTTTTAATTATTTTTCTAATACTAGGCTAAAAGTTCAGAACAAATATTTATTTTCAGTTGCTTAAAAAAAGGAGAACTGGAAGGTTGCTTAGATTTCTAAGGAGAGCCTTCAATATTTTTTCTGAAATTGGGAATTCTTTACTAGGAAATAGCAAGGATATAATTTTGTTTTAGTAGTTTGAATTAGCAGGAATGATAGAAGTTGATTGGTATACTAAATGGTATATCACTTGGTATATCAAAAAAAATTAGGTTAGTTTTTTAGAAGAAATTTATTGGATATTCAGGAAAAGATTTTATTGGAAGATGGGAAAATTTTTACTGGATAATTAGGAAATCTAATAAACTGAGCAATTTTCTTTTTCCATGATGCAAATTAATTCTGCTTGCTTAGTTCTTAATTTACCAATATTTTTATGTAAAGAATGGTCAAAGTCAATGAATAATACTGAAAATAAGTCATTGTAGGCTTTTTCTTTGGCATGGAAATAATTTCTTTTCAGGTCTCCAATTAGTCTAATTTCCGTGTTAGGGATAGATAATTGGTAAAGGTCAGAATAAGAAACAAAGGACTTAACCTCACTTTTTTTAGCATACTTGTCAAAGAAGTCAATGACTTTTAATTTGGTTTTGTAATTAACAAAGTGGCAGTTTCTTTGTTTACTAATTTCCTTAAAAGTTAAGCCGTTATATTCCGCAAAGTTTTTTAGCAGAATACTTAATACACTTCTGAGTTTATTTTCCCTCAATCTATTGTTTAAGTCAGGGTCATGAATACAATCAAGTAGTAATTTATCAAAAACAATAATCATTAAGCAGTTATTCGTGAATGTTTGCCATTAGTAAACTTAATTAGACTATCGGAAGGAATATTAGCCACTTCTTTTTCAGATTTAAGCGGTTTACGGGCATCCTTTCAAGGTTTGTTTTGGGCTTTTTCAAAGATTAGGTATTGTTCGGTATTCTTATGTTTTTGCCAAATCTTATCAGCAAAGTTCAAGACTGCTTCATTGTCTAAATCTTTTGCTGGTTTAAAAAGTTTAGCGAGATTATGACGATTATCATGCATTTTGTCGAATACTGACTTTATTGCTGGTCCATTTGGTCAAGCTTGTCATTCTTCGGTAAAAAGTAAATAGTTTTTTTCTTTAAGAATTTTGAGAAACAGCAGATAAAGCATTAACTGCATAATTGCCATATCCTCTACCCCCTTACTTCAAAAATACTTCGCCACTGACAAAGGCTCGATGTTTAAATTCTTTAATTTAGTTGTTTTGGCTACCATAATATTAAATTATTTTACCTTCTCGAAAATCAAGGCTACCACCAGTAACTGAACTAGTAGTTATTTTTAGGCTATAACAGACTAGGAAGGTAAGACCCACTGTCAAACCAACTAACAATAACAAGTTTTTACTATCGAGATAAGAAAACAAAGATTTAGTTTCTTTTTCAAATTGTTCAGGCGTAATTTGCACTTTCAAAGTGCCGTTTTGAACTCGTTTTTCTAATTCACTGATTAATTCTTGATTGGTTAAATTGATTTGGTTCATATTAAGTTGTTTTTAGATTTCAATTTCATAATTAACTAAGACATTTGCTCCATTCTTGCCTTCTTCAACCGTGAAATTAATTTCTTTATCCTCTACTAACCCACTTCATCTTTCTTGGTTAACCTTGCCTGAGAAAACAAAAACAGATTCCCCATTGTCTAATTCTAAGATTAGGTAATTATTTCGATTTCTATCTAATAATTCCTTTCTTTGGTTAATGGTAGATTTAATAGTTCTAGCTAAGTTCATTGTTTTTAATTATTTATTTTTATAATTCAATCAAGCAATTAGTAAACTGAATAAAGCAGTAATGGCTGAAACTACTGAAGCATAAGCCAGTAATTTATTCCATTTATTATTTTGCTCTGATAGTTCTTTTTTTAACTGCTTAATCTCTTTTTTTAGATTTTCAACTTCTTCTTTAAGGGTCATTATTTAGATTTATGACCAATCTCTTCTTTTAATCCAGCAGAGAATTTACACTTAGGAACCCTTTTGGCAGGAACCTTCATTTTTTTCTTAGTTTGGAGGTTCATAGCCATTCTTGGTTTAGTGATAGCAGTTTTCAGAGTAAAATAACCTTGTAATCTTACTTCTTCACCTTTAAGGAGGGATTTTTTGGTTTCTTCTAAGAAGTTAGTGATTACACTATCGATTTGGTTTTTAGTTAGTTTGGTTTTTTTAGATATTCGGTCAATTAATTGTGATTTACTTGTAATTGTTGGCATATATTATATTATTTTGGCTTACTCTTTACCTTTTGAACACCATCTTATCAACTTAGGACAGGCGGAGTTTGCAAGTTAATTAACTCTTGAATTTCTGGTAAAGTTCACAAATAAAGTTCCAAATGGTCAGTTAATACTCGGTGTCTTTCAGTATGAGGGTCATCAAGGTTAAGATAATTCGGGTCATAGTCGAGTAAGAGGCAGTGAGATATTTCATGAGCAATTGTGCGAACAAAGTGGGGCAGGTTATATTCTTTGCCGATGTTAACATTCATTAATTGCAGAGCATACTTGTAATTAAAATGAACAGTTTTAGTAATAACTTCAACATTACCTACTACTTCCTTGACTGGTCTGGTGCGTCCTTTTCAGTTATAACTCATTTCTCAACCTCCAAACTTAATGTAAGAGGAGGTGGTTGGAAGAGGTGAAATAAAGAAAAAGACCAAGGCTCGACAGTTTTGGTAAACTTTGTTGATAGTATGCTCAAAAAAATCTTGTAGCATTATCTTTTGCTCTTAGTTGGATAATTTGGTTCGCCAATGTCTTTTTGGGTGCAATTAATCTCACTTACTCAACCACCCGAAGTGGTTTTTTTTGGTGAGGCTTTCTTAATATCTCTTTTAAATTCTTCGGCAAATTCTTTGAGCCATTTTTTATCCTTCAAAGGATTTTGGGATGTAGATTTGTTAGTTGCTACCATAATATTTATTTTATCTCTATACTGGTCTAAACTTCACTAAATTACTTAAATCAGAATCTTTGATGTAAAGAGCAGTAGTAGAAATCTTACTATGCCCTAATACTTTTTGTAAAACAGGTAAGGGCATTCCAGAAATAGCATTATAAGTAGCAAAGCATCTTCTAAGAGTATGAGGGGATAACTCTACATTAACCCGTAAGTTCATTTCTTCTTTAACCTTTCCTAAGAAATCAAAGAAACTTATTCGGTTAGTGGTATTAGGTTGTCAATTACGCTTCTTTAATTCCTTAACTACTTCGGCAGAGACGAAAACTCATCTTTCTTTATCTCTTTTGCCTCTTAGTAAATACAAATTTTTATATTCGGGTTGTTGGTGTTCCAAAGTTAAATCAAAACCAATGGCTTCACTAATTCTTAACCCCACTTTTCAGCATAAGAGATAAAGGCATTCATGCTTATCTTTTTTACTTTCTCCTTTTTTATTCAGTCTAGTTATTAGATAATCCCAAATTTGTTGCATTAATTGATTGGTCGGTAAAATAGTTAACTGCTTTTTACTTTTAACCATTTTAATCTTTTTTCTTACCATTGGTTCAGATTTGGTTTGCTCCATAACTTATTTTTAACTCTCTTTCTTACATAACTAGCACTTTTGTCAGGAGAATTTAAGACTTCTTTTTTGCCTGATAAAGTTCTAAGTCTCTAATATTTTCTTTTC